CTGCTGCCGCCGCCGCCATCTTGGCTCCGCTTGTCCCGCGCCGACCGCCGTATGAAACCCACCAGGTGGCTCTGCGCCTGCGCGGAAAGCCAGGCACTGAAGCAGGCGGTGCACATGCGCGTGAGAGCCGGTTGGCTCTGCCCCATTTCCCGCTCCTCTGCCACTGCGCATGCCTCGGCGAGCTCGCCGGGTCGTCGTTTCGGCCGGCTTCGGCGCGAGCGTCGCGGTTGTAGTGCCGGGCGCATGCGCGCTGGGCGTCGCCGGTTCGGACCCCTGGGTTCTCCCCGGGGGCTGCTGCCCGCAGATTGCCATGACGTCTGACCCCTGCCCATGTGCGTGATGTGATCCTTGATCTCTGCCCGTGTGTGCCCTGACCCCAGACCTCTGTCCCATGCATACCCTGACCCCTGACCTCTGTGTCTTGACCTCACTCACTTGCAGGCTGAGGATGCCCAGGACGGGCGACGGGCAACCACCAGGGGACGTCCCAATGCCAGGACAAGGGGGGGGCCCAACTTGGGCGGGGGCTTGGCTGCGGCCTCCCTCAGGAAGGGGAAGGAGCTGTGCTCACTGCTGCGGGTGTTGGGCAACGGGCCCGAGCAGGGGGAGGCGCAGAGCTCCAGCCTGGGCCCCAAGTCAGGGCAGCGGAGGCGGGGGCACTGGTGTCATCCTCCTGCCCCCGGTGTCCACCGAACCCAGGTGTCTGGGGCCCCAACCCTGCTGCTGTCGCCCCCTCACCTGCAGCTCCCCAGTCCCCCCAGCCCGCACCGCCCTCCCCGAGCTGGGGAAGGAACCCAGGCGCTTTAACCCTTTCCTCCCTGCGGGGGGGCGGGGGGCCCAGCTGTGCTCTGCAGGCAGGAAGTGCCAGGCTGCGCTTGACGGTGGTGCTGGGCTGCCCCTTGGCTCAGCCACAGGCCCCCTGGCCAAGCTCACCGCGCGGCTCCGCTCCTCCGGCACTGCGCACCCTGGTAAGAGACGGGTGATGGGCGTTGGTGCTGGGGCCAACAGGGCGGGCAGGGACACATGGATGGGGCAGATGGATGGATGCAGGGGGGGAGGGTCCTGGCTGTTGTGCATATGTGTGAGTGTGACCCAGGCACTTGGGTTCTGGTTGTGTGTGTGTGAGTTTCATGCTAAGTGTGTGTCTGAGACACTCCTGGTGCCTGTGTGTGTGGGATGCCTGGGGGACAGGGGGAGCGTGTCCTGGATGCCTGGGTTTGGTCCATGTATTTGTGTGTCCTCCACTCCTGTGGGGGGAGCCTGGGCGCCTGGGTTGTGCATGCGTGTGTGCAGTGCCTGAGGGGCAGGGGGCAGCATGTCCTGGATCCCTGGCAGGGTGTGTGTGTGTGTGTTTTAGACATCCTGGTGGGGCATGTGCCGGACCCCTGGGGGGGTGTGTGTGTGTGTGTGTGTGTGTGTGTGTGTGTCCATCTCCTGCGGGGGGCAGGTGCTGAGCCAGGCGTGGGTGGGGGCAGCACAGCTGTCAGTGCAGCAGGGCATGGACTGTGCACGCATGTGCTGGTGCACGCGCGCGTGGGCAGGGACTGCTTGGCCGGGTGCTTCGCTCTGTGTGCGAGGGGCCAGGGGAGAGTGCATGGGCAGAGTTTGCATAAGCACACACATGGGTGCACATGAGTGCATTGCATGCGTGTGTATCCTGTGTCCTGCTTAGAGCAGCCCCTGCCTTTGAACCTGTGCCTCCCCCACTGTGGTACCCCTCAGTCCTGACCCTCAGCCCCCTGCCCCCCCACAGCCCTGCCAGTGCCCCTCACTCCCAACTCACAGCCCTGTTGGACCCCTCACTCCTGACCTTGAGCCCCCCCCGCCCTGCTCTTGCCCTTCACATCTGACCCACAGCTCCCCCACCATGGGGCAGGCGAGGGCCGGATGTATAGAGCGGGCAGCATCTTTGGCTCGGGATGACGTGTTGTTTCCTCTGTGCCTGGATCGCTGCGCTTTGTGGTGGCTGACTCAGCATTGCGCCCCCCCCCACCCCAACTCCCCCACCTTCTCACTTTTGTGCCTCGCAGAGCCCCGGGTGCTTGCCCAGCTGCATTCTCACACTTATGCACACGCGTGTGCGGCTGTAAGAACTAGGGCGGGGTGCAGTGGGTATGTGGGCAGTGGCAGCCGCTGCTCCCGACCCTGTACGCTGGTTTTCTCCTTGTGCCACTGTGGAGCAGGCCAGGTCTCTTGGGCTCCCAGTCATGGCTGCAGTGCCCTGGGGGCCGCCTCTCCTGCTGTTGGGGGGAAGCAGAGCAAGTGCAACGTATGTTGGGGGAGTGTGTGTGTGTGTGTGTGTGTGTGTGTGTGTGTGTGTGTGTGTGTTTCGGGGCACCAGGGTTTTCTTGCATGTGTATGTGTGGGGGTGTCTGGTGCCTGTGTGCCCCTGGCCACATTACCCTCCAGCCTCACCGCTTCTCCCTCGCTCTTTCTCCACCCTCCCAGGTGACGGTCGCCCACGGGGGGGGGCCCGATGTCATCAGTGGCATGATGGCGGCGGTGTTGGCCACAGGCAACAACACTACCACTGTCATCCCCCTCACGCAGCTGGAGGATGCTGTGCTGGCAGGCGGCTACACACTGATTTCTTTGCTGGCGCTGGCACTGAACGGGGCAGCACTGCACGTGTTCTGCAGCTCCGGTGCCTCCCTGCTCCAGCAGACACCCACCGCCCTGTACATGACACACCTGGCGGCCTGTGACCTGCTGCTGGCTGCCACACTGCCCCTGCGCGTGGCCCACTACAGCTGGCGCCCGCGGCTGCTGCCTCAGCAGCTGTGCGAGCTGGCCGGCCTGGCTCTGCTGGTGCACATGTACGGCAGCCTTTTCCTGCTGGCTGCCCTGAGTGGTGACCGCTGCGCCGCCGTCCTCTTCCCACTGCGGCCCCGCATCTGCGCCCTGCGGCGCCACGCCAAGTACATCTGCCTGGGCGCCTGGGTGCTGAGCGGTCTGGGGGCCGTGCCCACCTATGCCTGGCGCCCGGCGGTGCCGCTACCCAGTGAGGCCAGTTGCTTCGACACGTACCCGCGCTACGTGACGCAGCCGGCCGTGGCGGCCGCCATGGGACTATGCTTCGTGGTGCCGCTGCTGGTGGTGGTGCTCAGCGCCTGGGGGCTGCTGCGGGCCGTGGGGTGCAGTGCGGGCGCCCGCCTGGCGCTGGAGCGGCCGGCCAAAGCCCGTAGGCTGGTGCTGGCCAGTGTGGCCATCTTCCTGATCTGCTTCCTGCCCTTCCACCTGGTGCTGTTGGGCTACCAGCTGCCTCGGCTGCCCCACGTCAGCCTGGACCGTGCCTACCGCGGCGCCCTGCTGCTGGCCTGTGCCAACGCCGCACTGGACCCGCTCACCTACTACTATGCCAGCGACACCTTCCAGCAGGCTGTGCTCTGGGGGTGCTGCCGGGAGCGGACCCGCACCCCCCCTCCGCCCGACACCATCGCCCTCAGGACCGTGGGCTCGCACCACAGCAGCTAGCGGGGACCGGCATCCCACGGCAACTCCCAAGGGCTCCAGCCTCTCAGGGGGCTGGGCCTTGTTGCTGTGGGCGGTGGGGTGGGGGGTGTCTGCGCTGGTGCAGGGGTCTCAGGCTGGGCTTGCACTGGGAGGAGAGGAGGGCTCTTCCCCCACGTGATGATGTAGCAGGTGGGAGGGGGCCATGGGGCCGGGCTCATCTGTCGGAGCAGCAAAAGCAGCAATAAAAGGGATTTCGCAGCAAGAGTGCGCTGTGGTGCTGGGCCGGGCGGCGGCGCTGCGGGGCAGGGGGGTACGGAGCGGGTCTGAAGGGGCACGTGAG